TTGCCGTTGGATATTTCTTTTGTTCGAGAATCCGAATCCACCAATCACACGCCACTTTGACAGTGTGAACAACAATACCATAGTACAGTACAGTGTACAGTGTACAGTATACTGTATTAATAGTAAGCGTACGGGACAGCATTGAATATTAATACCAACCTTGGATACTATGGTTAATATAATATAATTGTTGAATTAAAACATGTGGATGAAATTTGGATGACATTGGATGAAATTGGATGAAGTTGTGGGATGAAACCTAAAGTAGTGACCAAGCCTTACGTTGGCCCCGAGCGCCCGGGAGGCCGTCTGCGCAAGCGCGGCCGTACGAGAGCGCGGATCTAAGCTTCTCACTTCACCGAATGATCTATCTTTTCTTCTTGTCGGACAGCGGCAGGTAGGCCGTAGGCCGTGCCGCTCCCTGACGAGGCCTGTATACAATGACCTAGCATTATCCTAATTTACTCTCATCTATACTAATTACGATATGACCTAATATTAATGGTGGATGATATCACGGATATTTGAAATCCATATAAATAATTCGAAGTACTACTGTACTAGGTATGTACTGATAGTATTTCCGGTAGTATGCGCCAGGTTAATGAAGTCCCACCAACGACAACGTTCCTATGAAATTGGCGTACCATACAGTATCCTACTTACAGTTTAAATGGGGACGAACCCAAGCTTTACACTCGGGGAAGTGAGCCCCGCCTTGCCTTGTGTACTCCAGAGTAATTCCCTGAGGTCAACTGTTTCCATCTTGCTTACGTAATCATCATTTCCCTTACAGTTAAAAGAAACCAGACTTCGGAACCCCCGGACCCCTTGTTTTGCTATTCCCGGGGTAAAGTTGCATTCCCAGTGGTTAAATATGATGCTAACCATTGATATACACTTAACAGTACCCCTTGCTGGAATGCTCAAGTGATATCATTACATGGAGTTCTGAAGCCTACACTACCGGTTCAGTACCACAGTGTAGGGGAAGGAAAATAGCTCAGGTGGTAGGGAATGGTACGCCTACCGAAGTTTTGATAACAGCTGCCCCCCTATTAGCCAATAGATACAGAGTACTCGAATTCGAGCAGATAATTGGACAATAATAATATTATCCCGCCGGCGCGAATTTTTCAGAAATGGGACATCCTGGCCTACGATGGTAATAAAAAGCGCAAGAAGATCGTCCCTGGTGGCCGTCCCGAAACCTTCCCCGACGCAGACGGACACGTTCTGTTCATGAACTAAATGCGTGAACAAGAACGAGCCCTGACGACAACACATATCGTCAACTGGATTAAGCGGCATCAAGCGGACTCGCTGTACTCCTACGTTGCGCGGAAGAATCCTAGCGCCGGATACCAAAGTCTGCTGAGCCTTCTTCAACGGTTCTGCCATCGACACGGCTTCTCACGTCATCGGCCTGGGAAGAACGAGTAAAGCCAAGCTGCCTTGGTCGAGGTGTGCGACAAGTTCGCAGAGGAGTTTCACCGCGAGTACCGAGGGTTTGGTCCTGAAGACATCTAAAATGTGTAACTATGACATGCCGCCGAAATACATTTGGTCTGCTCGAGGGGATGATGCCAAAATATCGACTAGTGAGAAGCATTCTCTTCGAATGACTGCTGTTTTCACCGTGCGTGCCAATGGCAACAAGCTGCCAATTCTCTTTGTCATCCGTGGAGCTCCAGGCGGCCGCATTGAAACGTCTGAACTGCCGCTGTTTCCACGTGGCCATGTCTACGCTGTGCAGCAGAAGGCGTTGATGGGCAACACCGTGTGGAACTATTACCTGCGGACGCTACTTGCAAACAACCTGTCTGACCACTCCGTTGTCCAACTCGATATCTGCGCGTCTCATGTCAACGATGACACCTACTGTATTGTCCACGACGAGTTGGGTAGCCAGCTTTGTCCCATTTCTCCCAACGCCAAGTCATTTTGTCAGCCACTTGATGTCGGGGTGATGGCGCCATTCAAGCGTTACTTGCGCGACGCTTGACTGACCGAAGAGATGATCGACGGCGAAGATGGAAATGACACCCCTACCGCTGGTCAAAAGAGATTAGCAATGGTGAAACGTGCCATGGGACCACGTGTCACTAGTAGATATTCGCAAGAGCTTTGAGAAAGCTCTCGCAGTCCCTACTAACACTGAGTAAATGGTGTGTTCATGCATCGCATTGATAGTCCTGCATGCCAAAGGTACTTTTCAGCGAATGATTTGTTGTGGATATAAATATGAAAAATTGAATAAGTTGCCTATGTCTAATTGTTTTGTTGTATGCAAATTATATTAATTTTGAAAAAAAGCTTGACACTACCCGGGTCCCTTTCTCTATCATCATGGATGCCGTCGTAGGGGGGGGGGAATAGCTCAGGTGGTAGAGCATCGGTTTCTTAACTCAAAGGTCGTGGATTCGATCCCCGGATTCCCTGGATTATTTCCGCAAGGATTTATCCGTCCCTCCCCTGGGGAATCCGGATAACAAGGGCCGCATACGAAGACGAGGACCGAACTTCGAAGAAGATCGGTCGAAGCACGAGGTATGAAGCGTTGCGCGAAGTAATACCCGAAGATTACACACCGCCCCTGGTCGAGCAGGCGCGTTACAATTGGCGAAGGGGTTCCATAACATGTGGTAGTAGTGTCGGCCCTCGCGGAGGAATGCCTTAAAAATGATAATCCAAACTCAATTAATCATGGATGCCGTCGCACTAACCGTTGCGCCACTGTGTCAAGTGCGATCTTCGTTTCGCGTTCGTAGTTTAAGTGAGTAATCAATTTGATTCTCTTGTAGTTAGTTCATCGTCACATCCGATACAGCGCTAGCACAAGCAATGCCATTTCCCAAGACAATCCAATTGCAAATTTTAATAACCTCCAACAAAAACTGCCCTGATTGGGTACAAAAACAATCGAACTTCGCAGTCCGCTAACCAATAAACAACCACGTTTCATATCAGGTCGAAGCACATGTTAGGCGTACCATTCCCTCTTTCTCTGTACTTCTTTTAGAATGTTTGTGGATTCACGTACATTGGAGTGTTGGTGTTTTGACTAACACCGTGCTTCTGGGAAATCACCAAAATACTACCTCCGGAGGGAAATAGAAGTGCCAAGTCTTTCAGCGCGTTCACCAACACATCACCATATGTAGGTGTGGCGACAGTTTCAGTGGACATGTTGGTTTCTTCTGTTAAGCAAGTCAATAAAGAGATACTGTGTACCGGTACTAGTCAACATGTCACATGTCATCCACCCTCAGATGGTTTTTGAAGTTCTACGTACTCCAGTACTAGTAGTATATAATACTAGTATGCTACAAGAGGTGGCCATTCGCTCTGAATATTCATATTTTGGATTCAGGTAATGTACGCTATAATGACTCACCAAATTATACATGCTTTGGTGTGAATTTATGCTTCAAACGAGTCAGCCCATATGTTTCGATAAAGCACATCACTCTCACGGATGCGAATTATCATCTTGAATTGAGTACTGTATTGCTCAAGTGCACTATTTCCATGCATCCTGCTGCAGTTGGATCATTTCATATTTTTGCCAATTCAAGCCAATCAGATTCGTTGAAATGCACATTTTCTTAAAGTGCAAATTTGAGGAAATTATACACATTCTTTCCAAATGGCAGGTCTGTTGTATGGTGCATTTCATCTAAAGACTACATCAGCCATACGGATAAGTGATGTATACAAAGACCAAGATATACTTGATGCTCCTTTTCGGACAAAATGTGCCTGGCTTCATATATTTCCATACAAAAAGGCTAGTTGGTTTAAATTATATTACTCGGTCAATTTTTCACCAATCGAAAATTTGAACCGCAACTTCTGTTGGCCTTGTCCAGTTCTATCGTTATTACGGCTTATTTTCCAAAAAAATATAGATACAAAGTTGGAATAGCTGTCGAAAGACAAGGCATTTTTTTGTAGTCTTTAGATTAAATGCACCATAGTAATTAACACTGGACTTGGCTCACATCAAAGCACATCCTGTCGGTACAAACCAGAAAGTTACCCGATTTTTCATCTCCACCGCACCTCCAAATTGTCCCTTTAAAATAAAGACACCTCGAATTCAGACGCACCCTACCGTAGATGGCCAGTTTATGGTGCACGGGACAGTTTAAGGTGCACTTGGAATTGCTTGATTTTTGGATTAGCCAATCGAATCACAAAAAAATAAGCAAAAACAGCATACATATTTTAAGCTTAAACCGTACACCATAAACTGTCCCTCCTATTGCCTTGTAATGTGGAAATCGAAGTAAATGAACGTTTACTGTAAGTTGAAGTCTATTCAAGTCGGTTAAATATTCAGAAGTATGCCCAACCTTTCAGCTTCATGCAGCACTTTTCAGGATTGAAATCCCGGTCCTGTGAGACGAGTAAGCTGCACTCTACGACGAGGTCTCTTATAAGTGCACCATATATCGGCCATCTACGTAATAATAGAATCTCATGATTTACAGCTCCTCGCAACAGTATCAGGGTGACCCAATTCAGGTCCTTGGCTGTACAGTACATCACTCCTCCCCCTGCTGTTGTTGTGATTCCCTCCTGGACTGGAATACATTCACTAATGCCAGAATGTTTGCAGTTCGGAGTGTTGGTAATTGATCACATGTTGGGAGTACGATAGATATAGCTTGCCTTGTCACAACTCACCACGAATGAATTGGGACTTGGCTCACTTATCAAAGCTCATCCTGTCAGTCAAGTCGAACAACCCCGTCTGAGCCAATGTCGTCCACTACGATGCCGCCGTGGATATTCGTCTTGCTTTGTACAATCAGCTTTTTCGGTGATTTTGACCAAGGCATCACTATTGGCGCCCCAGCGCAGTTCCAATACTTTATCCAAGTCTCTCACAACACCACCGAACCAGGCGCGTTGCTTGGACTGCTCTCATCGTCGTTTGTGACCACCAACGCCCTCTCGATCCCGCTGTTTGGGTACCTCGCGATGACCACCAAACCGTTTCGAGTCATTTCCATGGGGCTGGCCGTGTGGATCGTTGCCGTGGCCATCTCAAGCGTTTCCAAGTCCGCCAACAGCTTCGAGCTTTTAGTCGTGGGGCGATTCCTCAGTGGTGTTGGAGCAGCGTCGTTTCAGTGCATTGTACCCGCCTTCATCAACGACCACAGCCCGAGCAGTGTCCAGACGCTGTGGTTGGGTGTGTACATGATGTCGGTTAGCCTGGGTATGATTTCGGGCAGAATCGCGGCATCGACGCTGTCTACAACTTCTTGGGGCTGGAACTCGTTGTATGCCTTGGAGGGGCTAGCGATGGTGCCGTTGCTTTTCCTTTGTCGTTTTGGCATTCCCGACGAGTTCGATCGGATCAGCAGAGACGTCACCAACGAATCCCAAGGCTTGTTGGCGGAGAGTGGTTCCGCGGCCCCAAAGTCGTTTTTCGGTGAAGTGTGTGGGGTTTGTAGCAACGCTGCGTTTTCGTGGTTGATGCTTGGGTTGGCAAGCTCGGTGTTTTTTAGTTCAGGGTTGACCATGCTTTCAACGCTGTTGCTGATTGGCGTTGGCGTGTTTTCGTCGGAAACTGATGCTAACGTCACGTTGGGATCCCAAGCACGTAAGTGCTACTAGTACTCTATACAACCGGAATGTGATTTGTGCTAATAACGACCCCTGACTTGTAGTTGTTGCAATCTTCGTGGGCACCTTCCTGGGGGGCGTGCTGCTCGATTGGACGAGCCGCGGGGCAGCTTACAAGCGACAATACTTTGCGATTCGTCAACTGGTGCTGGGATACCCAGTCGCTGCTGGAGTCGTGCTCCTGTCCGTGATTGCTTTGCCTGACAAAACGTGGTTCCTGGTGTGGAATGGACTCTCGATTGTTGTTTTCAGTTCCACGTCCCCAGTTGCGATGACCGCCATGTTTCACTCTGTCCACCCGTCGCAACGATCCCTCGCTGTTGGTTTGAAGTCTCTTGTGCTGCATGTGTTCGGGGACGTTCCCGCCCCCGTCATCATGGGCTACATCAAGGATGCTTGGGCTCCTCACTGCAACAGTGTGCTTGTGGACGGCGTCGTAGTGCTTAACCCAGAGTGCCATCAAGACAAAGATGGACTCATCCAAGCCATGATGTTTTCATTAGTGTGGATGGTGTGGGCCATTACGTGCTTTGGAATTGCCTTGTACTTCGCTCGACGGACAATGCTCAAGGAAGAACGTGCTAAACTGTGTGCAATTGATAATCCAAAATAAGCTCATCTCTTTTTATTAGCTAATCATAACAAGGTAACCCAAATCCCACCATTCTATTGGATCTGCCAATGAGATTATTTCTCGATGGATGGAATATTAATAGCGATTCTGAGAATATTATTGTGCTTAGGTTGAACTTGCGTACTGTATGAGAAATATTCTCATCGGCCGTTATACATAGTTTAACTGAGATACTTCTTATGTATACTTGACTTGCACTTTGCTTCCCCCCTCATACCTTGTGCTTCAACCGATCTCCTTCGAAGTTCGGTCATCGTCTTGGTTATTAATAGTAAATAGTCGTACCCAGCCCTTGTTATCCGGATTCCCTAGGAGGGACAGATAAATCCTTTCGGAAATATTCCGGGGAAAGTTTGAGTTTAACCGATGCTCTACCACTCCCAATGCATCTTGCCAGGAACGATAGCGTCGTTTCGACGATTCTTCGAATCCCATGATATGCAGGACGTGCTTTTTATGGACCTCCCCGAGGCACGCGACACTGTTTATGTTTCACATTGACGTTTTCGTGTGTATTAGATGGTCCAAGAGCGCACGAACAACACGCGACTGTTTCACACCAAGACGCCCGACGGCGCGTTCGTAAACTCGCTCCAAGGACATTTTCATGAAGCCGATCGGTTCATCGTAGTCGTACGCCAAGTCGAACACGATGAAGTGCATATGTGTGACCCCCTTCTCAGGCAGCGGCACTACCGGTTATGGTGAGTGAATGACGAGTAGTCTCGAGTGTTTGTCATGTGGATGTAGGATGGAGGTGCGGCAGGTGTCGCCCACCCATATCATAACGCGGACAGTCGGTCACTTGTCTCGCCTTTTTCGAGCCCGCGATGGGTTTTTGAGTACGACCGAGCTCGCGGTGCTGAGGGGCATCGATTTAACGGGCATCCAAGACGACCAGAAGGACGCGTACGTGTGGCGCGAGTTCATCCGACGGGGAAATGCGAATTTCGTGTCTTGGCGACGCCGGTTCATGGCCTTGATGCAGGAGGAATCGCAACACCATCATGATAACCACGAGGATTGAACGAGCTTTGCTTTGTGCCTTGGAGATCATCCACTGCATTATGGAAAGGTAGTATAACGAAGGTTGCTATTTTTCCTCCCCCGCTGTCCAAGGATGATTGCGACTGAGATGAAAACTGATCTTCCTCACCTACGATTGGCCTGCAAATTAGTGGAGGTGAAATAGCATAATCTGAGCATTCTCGTCGAATTAATTGGTTAACTATCTATATGTGTCAAACACCTCCGTGACGGCAAGTTGATAATTTCCGACGACCATATTTTGGCAATTGACAAGGCAAAGCTGTACAAAGGCAGCGGTTGGCGCCGCGTTGCGGAGTAAACTGGTCCAAGGCGCGGTGTAGTTAGCGTTATTGGCGTTGGTAATGACTACAAAATGTTATCTAATTTCGGGTGTACTGGTTTACTGTACACCCGAAATTAGATAACATTCGAGTTCCAGAACCCAAAATATCAATCTCGAACTGGGTATTTCGGAACGAATTATTTGGATTAGATTGAATCTACGTCGAACATATATTCACTTTCCATGTCTACGGTAGTGTACAATGGCCACCCATGTCGCCATTGTTTGAATTGGCAAGGTGTGGTTGTGCCGGATAGCATCATTGTAAGTACGTACGGTCCTGTCGAAGGGCGCCGGCACGACTCAACTGCGTTGGCAATGAGTCGTCTGCTCGATCGCCTGTGTTGTGGTTGGCGGTTGTCAGCCATGCCCCGCCATGACACACAGGGACTCTCGATGGGGTCCCTTGGCGCCAATCTTGTGAATCGACGTGTTAGATACACTCTAGTAGTACTAGTAGTAGTATTATGAGTTAGTGGGAGTGTCGGTTGGGAATGGTCACCATAGTTAGCCAATCAGTGGCCACCTGGGACCACCTGCTACTTCTACAGAAGCTCACTCCTAGTTTTACTCTGCAACGGACATAACAATCAAGTGCGTGGTTCACGGGAGGCGGCGCTCCCCCATTTGGTTGTTTGTGTTGGCGCAGTGCGGGAAACAACACAAAGTTAACTTTAGTTCCAGTTACCTACAACTGCGAAACTAAGAGCAATGACGCGAAGCCGGAGCTTGTCCCCGAAAGACAAGTGAATGGCGCCCAAAGGCAGACGCTCCGAACGTTTGAGACCGAACACGGTGACCGAGCAGGAAGGGGCAGAAACAAAAGAAGAGGTACCGACAGCGGAGCTGTCGATGGTCCCAACCAGTGGGACCTCGACCATGCGGCCGGTCGAGACGAAACCAAGGAAGAACAACTCTCACCCAAGTCAAGCGAAAGATCTGCGCCACACTCGATGTC